TAACAGGCCCTGAGAGACCAAAAAAATATGGATTGCACCTTTGAGGCCCTCTACCATCATTTGTGCTGTAGTACAATGTTACTTTCAACGAAAGCAATTGATTAAACCTCTCGCCTTGTGGTCGGATGGCAAGCCCTTAAACCATTGGGGTTGGTTATACCCAGGGGTCTTGTATTTGAGTCGTGGGAGAGGCAATTACCAATTTACCTTAAAAAAAAAAAAAAAAAACAATTGATTAATTATTAAAGAGGAATAGTAAATCAGTTTGATTTAAGTCTTCCAAGTTTTTTATAATAATATGGTTTGAGAAAGTTTAGTGGATTTGCAATTTTGTGGATAGCAATAGCTATATGATATCATTAGCATTACATTAGTTCTGTATATTCACTATGATTCTGTTATTATGTAACAGTGGAAGGAAAATCACATCCAGTGGCCAGAGGGATTTGGACCAAGTTGCTGGTAGAATTCCAGTCGTTGCCCAGTGAGATATGAACTCAGGCTAAACTATGGGTTGAGAACTTATTGAGAATATTTTTGGAATTAGTTGTTTGAATGAGAGGTAGATATAGAAGACACTGTTAGTTAATTTTGTGCTTGATTTGTCTGGTACTTCTATGATGAATATTGGATTCTATATTTCAATATGTTTCTTCCCTCTGCCCTTTTATAGTCAAGTCTGGTTCTTATGATGTAACAAGATGTTGCATTTGGTTCCTGGCTTCTTATCTATGTTGTGCATCAAACATTTTTTTCCCTATGTCATGTTTAGCTCGAAAAACATTTGAAAATTTAAGGCTCCGTTTGGTTCACTTTTTTACACTTTTTAGAAAAGTTTTTGGAAAAAAGTTAAAAAAAGTTGAATGGGGCGGGTATTACGATATAGGATTTGAAAATAAATAAAAATATCCTTTATATTTGTTTATTTACTAAACACCCCCCCATGTTTGTTTATTTACTAAAAACCCTTATAATAAAACATTAAAAGTTAACAAAAACACCTTCAATCCATCCGCCAACACATGGATAGTCGGTCACCATCGTCGGAGGGTGGCCGGAGTTGTCATATTGGCGTATGACCTGTAATATTGCTGGTCTTGTGCCGATATGGCCTTTTTCGGCCAGATCTACGGCTAGATCTGGCCATTGACGACTAAATATGGTCGTATTTGCTCGTCAACGATTGCCAAAGATATGGTCGTAGTTCAACGGCCAGATCTTTGGCCTTAGATCTGGCCTTTTTCTAGCCAGATTCATCGTGGATCTAGCTGGAAAAGGCTAGATCGGCGCACTACCGACCAGATTCAGCAGGTAGCGTGCCATTATACCAGATTCTGGCCATTTTTCAGCGGTGGTGGCCGGAATCTAGTAAATATGGTTGCTGGGGTTTTTTGCAATTTCTAAAAAAATATTTAAGGATATTTAATTAAATTAACAAATTTAAGGAGTTTAAAGAAAGTTAAATAATATTGTGAGTTTTTGCAATTTTAATGTTTAACTTTATTGGGAATACTAATAGGAGTAATGCTACAGTTACCGACGAGTGTGCACCGAATTTGTGTACCGAATGACGTAGTAAAATCCTGACCGTTTATTTATTATCAGTTAATATTAATCAATGATCAAGATTTTGTTACGTCATTCGGTGCACAAATTCGGTATAAACTTTTCGGTAACTATATCATTTTCCATACTAATAGTAGTATTCCCAAATGTGAGCCAAACGAAGCCTAAGAGTTTCAGGGTTGATGAAGATATTACTTCTTGTAAACTTGTTTATAAAATTCCCTTACATATATTTATATTTAAGGATCATTAATTCAATAATAAAAAAACATGTTAAATTTTCTTGAATGGTATATCGCAAGGTTTTAAAATCGAGTTTGTGGTGAAACTTAGCAAAGTGGTCGGGTCTTGGGTCAGTTAAACCGGTTTGATCGATGATGTCAACATGTCCAAAGATTGAAATCTAACAAAAACACCCTTAAAAAATGTATATAAGTCCCTATAGGTTTGAAATCTTATAAAAACACTCCAAATTAAGTTGTCAGTGTCGACAATCAAAGCCAAATAGGGCTTGTTTCTGGCGTCGACAACACACCTTATCACTACGAAAACTTTCCCCTCAGCCTCATGACCAAAACCCATATCACCTTACCCTCATTCACCTCGTCAATCGTTGGCAATAGTCTGTTCTTGTCGTCGATCGATTTTTGCGATTTTCAATTGTTTTACTCATCAGAAATCATCTTCGTTGCCACCTTTAGACTCATCAGTCCTTCCTTTTCGAAATCCCCAACATATCAGCCGTTAATTGTTCGTTGATTATCGTCTTAATCTCTAGAGTTTGCGATGAACAGTGAAAATTGATAAGTTGACTCGGTGAAGGCCCCAAGTCTCGATTTAATGGGCCGGGTTGGGTTTTAAAACACTAGTATATTGATGAGATTTCTTTTTATAACTTCATAGATTATGGCTTTTCTTAGCAACTAATAAAAGATTGGATTGGTGTGATTTTATTGATGACTCTTTAAAGAAGTGATGTTATTATATATACACACTCTTGTATCCAAAATGGAGTAAAACTCTTGGATTTTAGGAATAATAGATCTACATGTTATTTGGTATTTTATAAAATTGATTTTTTTTTTATATATATATATACATTAATCTATTGATTTAGTGACACATGAGTTTGAATTTAAGCGTTTGTACTTAAAGTTTGTTCTTGTAGTATTATTCAATTAAAAAATGGCTGCATTCATACAAGATAATCAATTATCAAGCAGATTATTATGTTATTTTATGAAAAAAATCTATGATATAAAAATTCTAGAATATCATCATTCGATGAATAAGAGAAATAACTATAAACCACTATTGTGTGGTCTGATGGTAAAAGAGTAAAGGAGGATCTAAGTTTATATAGTCTTCCGAGTTCAATTCTCTACAGCTCCTAATAAGGATGACCATTTGAGCTTTTATTCGGTCGATAATTTTAGAGTTTCAGAGAATTAGTTAAAGTGTACGTAAACTGGTCTGGACACCTTCGATCATTAAAATAATAATAATTACTATATATAGCATGAATGTGTTGGCTTCATGTGATTAATAGCTAAACTTTATCCCCAGACATATCATGAATTATTTGCCAAAATCACTATTGACAGTGACCCGGACCGGACCGATCGGTCCGACTGGGACTTAGGCTCCACTCCAGTCCCGATTATTATTAAACCTGTTAATACTAAAAGAGCCATTTTGGATTGGTATTGGACCGGTGTTATAGTACAAACAATCCGGTCCGACCGACCCAAAACTTATCCTGGTCCGTTAATTGAGCCCTAAAAAAAACCTAATCTTAATTCCCTTGCATCGGTTTCATTCGCCATAGGCCATTTCAGTCGCCGCAACTTCCATTTTCATCTCCAAACCGCAGCTTCCATTTTCATCTTCTCAAAAGTGTAAAGTTTACACTTACTTCCTCATCTTCTTCATCTTCTTCAACTTACTTCCTCTATTGAAATCCAATCTTCTTCATCGAAATCGATGACCTGGAATTCGTTAATGAAATCATGACTACGGCACTACGTAGGCTTTGTTTCGCTCTTAGTCAATAGAGTAGACACTCGGTCCATCATCAGGATGTTGAGCTTGCTCATCTCGGTCATCATCATGTTGAGTAATTATGGATTCACGAATCAACTCCTTTACCATTGCTCCAACACCCATTGTTTTTGTATCAAAATCGTTCTTCTTCTACGCATCTCTTTCAACTTCCTCAACCCTCTGCTTCTGCCCTTGCTTTCTTCTCTCTTTGTTCGCCTCCATCACAGTCACAAATCTTTTGAGTTATGTTGGAGATTTTCTAGAGTATTCATAGATGCCCTCACCCACACGTGGCTAGAGTTAAGCAGTGCCTGTCCTACCTCGCACATGCCAACAATTATGAGCGTACACATATCATCTGATAATTTAAAATGATAAATGATTGAGGTGTGTAGGTGTAATTGGGATTGGACCTTCATTTTCCAACAAAACATAAAGGTTCCATGAGTTGTAATAAAAACCCATTTTGCTATGCATCCATTACTCCATTTGCATTTTTAAATTCTAGAAAACACAATTAAATAGACTCAAAAAATTATTTCAATCTCATCTCACCGGTCCAATCAACGGTCTAATCGGTTGGATCGGTTGACCCACAATTTGGTCATCTTGTCAGGTCTTACAACGGTCGGTTTTTAAAACAGTATGATGAACTAAATTATTGTACTCTCTTTGAATTATTTACCAAAATCACTGCTTATCATAAATGATACCTTAGTGACCATAAATTGGGGTTGACAACAGTGTACATTTATGTCCTTTAATTGGTTAAATGCTACCATCACTCAAGCTTTTAAAGTATATATTTATGAGAGCGTCCTGGTTCACCTTCCCTCAGATGTCGGCAAACTAAGCAGGCTTGATTATAGTTATGGCATTCCACACTCATTTACATGTTTATTTATAATCAATTTATAATTTACGGGAAAAAAAAAACGTTAATTAATTTATTCTACAATTAATATAATTAAATCCGTTTACTGTTTTTTCACAAAACTGTCCTAGCATACACGTATTAACTGAATTTAAGAGCTCAGACTCTTGCATTAGTTAAGCTCACAGCACCTCCATCCCCCTTGTCCACCGCCCATTTCATTCGCCATTTGCCGACTGCAATACGCATTGCCGTTTTGAGAGGACTGTAAATAGAAAGCCCCCACACTACCACACTATTCAATTGACCTGTCAACTACTCAACATGCCACCCTGGTCCTCCTACTTTATTCTCCCTCCACGTGGCATTTCTTAATCATAAAGATTCTGAATCTACCCTCCACCCGCGCTCACTACACTCTCCACACCAACACGCACTTCTCGAACCAGAGAATCTCCTCATTTCCTTTTTTTTTTTTAAAATAAAATAAAATAAAGTATAAATATTAATATAATTATTATAAATCAGGCACTCTGCTTTCTCACGATTTCGAATATTTGAACAGAGAAGCGCTTTGCTTCGATCCTCGGTTTTCTTATTTACCAAAGGTTGCTTTCTCTAGATCATCAATTACTTACCCCTTCTAGGGTTTTCTTTATTTCTTCTTCTCTTTGATTTCATCGATCTTCTTTATCTCATTGTCTCATCCAATAATAAAACTGTAAGTCTCCTTTTCTTCATTTATTTTATTTTATTTTTTTCTTTAACTTATGAATTAGTGACTGGATAGATTAGGTTAAAGCACGTGTTGCTCTTAGTTGAGTGTGGAAGTTTGTGTGTTACANCGTGGCATTTCTTAATCATAAAGATTCTGAATCTACCCTCCACCCGCGCTCACTACACTCTCCACACCAACACGCACTTCTCGAACCAGAGAATCTCCTCATTTCCTTTTTTTTTTTAAATAAAATTAAATAAAGTATAAATATTAATATAATTATTATAAATCAGGCACTCTGCTTTCTCACGATTTCGAATATTTGAACAGAGAAGCGCTTAGCTTCGATCCTCGGTTTTCTTATTTACCAAAAGTTGCTTTCTCTAGATCATCAATTACTTACCCCTTCTAGGGTTTTCTTTATTTCTTCTTCTCTTTGATTTCATCGATCTTCTTTTATCTCATTGTCTCATCCAATAATAAAACTGTAAGTCTCCTTTTCTTCATTTATTTGTTTTTTTTTTTTTTTCTTTAACTTATGAATTAGTGTCTGGATAGATTAGGTTAAAGCACGTGTTGCTCTTAGTTGAGTGTGGAAGTTTGTGTGTTACAATTTTTTAATCTTAGTTTTAAAAAAATTTGATGCAATATTTTTTTGTTTTGTTTTGTTGATATTGTGTTTGTTATTCTTAAATTTGTGAGATATATTCTAATATATTATCAATCTTAAAGTATGATCGACATAACTTGTATTCTTACTTTAAGTTTTCTCAGGTGTTTTTGTTTCAACTTTGGGCTTGATCAAGGTATGCGTATCTTGGTTTAGTAGTGCAGATATTGTTAGTAATAAGTGCTGGTATAATTAGCACAGTTTGTTTTAAAGTGTGGGATAGCTTGAATTTAAAAGCTGGAGAGAGAGGTCTGAATATGGGTTTCTTGTGAATTGGCGATTTCCGGATTTTAATTTTAACAGCTTAGGGTGAAGATTGTGTATGTGGATGGTGGAATATTGGAGGACATGGACATAGTTACTGAGTTGAAATACCTTTTACCGTGGAGGTTTTGTTCTTTCATTTTGAAGCTACATTGTTTGTAGAATGTGAGAAGATATACTTTGAAAAATGGATGATAGAGAAATTGAAATGTGGTTTCCTAGTTGGAACAACTGGAGTCCAACTGAAACAACTGAGTCTCGTCTCTTTATTGTCTCTTGTTTTGTTGCTTCCTTAGTCGGTATTTTGACCATAGCTTATACGGCCTTTCAGTGGAGAAGAAACATTAATTTAAGTTGGATGAAAGCCATAGCCAGGTCAAAAAAGAACCCGAAGACAAGGCACAAAGCTCCATTAGCTCCGCATAGTTGGGTTCCAGAATCTGTATCTCGTGGGAAGAATTTAAATTGTTGTGTTTGCTTAAAGCCCATGTCCCCTTCTCAAACGCTTGGGCCTATGTCGCCTTCAGATAGTTTTATTCACCGCTGCAACATTTGTGGTGCGGCAGCTCACTTGAGTTGCTCTTCCAGTGCCCACAAGGATTGCAAGTGTGTGTCTATGATTGGTTTTGAGCATGTGGTGCATCAGTGGGCGGTTCGATGGACAGAAATCACAGATCAACCCAATGAAGCTTCCTTCTGTAGTTACTGCGAAGAGCCATGTAGTGGGTCTTTTCTTGGCGGATCCCCTATATGGTGCTGCTTCTGGTGTCAACAACTAGTTCATGTTGATTGCCATAATAATGTGTCAAACGAAACTGGTGATGTTTGTGATTTAGGCCCATTCAGAAGGTTGATTCTCTCACCGCTTTATGTTAAGGAAGTGAACCATACATCAGGTGGATTTTTAAGCTCAATCACACATGGAGCAAATGAAGCTATATCTTCAGTGCGTGCAAGTATTAGGAGTCAGAGCAAGAGATACAAGCATGGTAGTGAATCTTCTGTTGACACAGTTGATAGTGGTAATACCTGTGACCCCTCTACAGAAAGCACAGCTGAAGCTCATAAAACAGTAAATAGCTCTTCTGGACCGGAGGAAAACTGTAATGGTAGCATGAATATGGTGGTTTCTCCCCAAGGGGCTGAGTTAGATAAGAAGATGGAATCAAGGCCCAGTTTTAAAAGAAGCAGTTCAAGTAATCAGAAGGACGAATCTCAAACATTGAGGATGAAACAGAAATTTGAGTTAATTGATTTGCCTCCAGATGCAAGGCCCTTGTTAGTTTTCATCAACAAGAAAAGCGGGGCTCAACGTGGAGATTCCCTCAAGCAACGATTGAACCTTCTTTTGAATCCTGTCCAGGTTTTTTTTTCCTATCCAACATTAAGTCGCTTTTATAAAGTCATATTGTTTTCAATATGCTTTGATCTGTCACATCTATACTGAGTAGTTAATTTTTTTTAATCATGGAAAATCATTATTGTTAGGTGTTTTAAGGTTGAGCTGTTGTATATGCAACCTTGATATCAGATTAATATTACTATTGTGATAAACGAGGCTCATTTGTTACTTTTAATCCTCTTGATGCTGAGGATTTTGTTCGTTGAAATCTGACTCCCTTAACAAAATCCTTAGGATCACTGCCAGTATACTTCTTAACCATTTTCAGAATCTCTTAATGTTGACCACTAGAAGTTTGTTAATTTTCCATCTTCCACCAATGAATAAGCACTATTCTGTGGTAGAGCTTGGGAATTTTGTTAATGTAGCTTTGAAAGCCCTTTAAAGTATTTTACTTTTTCTTTGGTGAGTTCGTGTGGTGTTTTTGTTTGATTGAGTATTGTAAGGTTTTTTTTTTTTTTTATATAAAAAAAAGTTTCAAAAACGAAGATACAATTCAAATATCGAAGTTGTATATCAATATTTTAATAGTTGAAAACCTGTTTGATATAAAATTGAAAACCCAGGTTCAGAATTAAAAACTATAGAAAATGAGAAAACAAGTTTAATTTCTATGATTTTCACTAGTTTTTAGAATTGTGCTCGAAATATTTTTTTTAATACAATTCAACTCATTTCAATGAAACACGTTTATGTAAATTTCTTTTATTCCATGTTTTAACTAACCAAAAACTGCTTTTAAGTTCTATTATCAAACAAGACTATAAGTTTTGATGACAGCATTGATTGCTATGGTTGTTGATTGTGTTTTTTATTATAAAATTGTATTATAATTGCAGAATTGACTTCTCCTGTTTTGCATGGGAAAATCGTCTTTGTTATTGATGGAATTCTAGATATTTGTAGAAGATATTTATTATTGTTTCCATTGACATGGACTCGTGTGGGATCAATTAATGTGATAGCTATTTCTTCCTTAGATCCTGTTCATAGTACTTGTCAACTGGAAAATGATTTCCCCGTAAATTAATGGGAACTAATGAAATGAACTATGAACTGTTATTCTGCTGCTTTAAAACTAAAACATTTTAAGTTGAAAGTATTTGCTGGGAGTCTATCAACAAGAACCATGTTGAGCTGTTGTCTCAAGTTTCCGTTAACTTCTTTGTTTTCTTAATCATACCAGTTTTAATTTTTCAAGGGTTGTTCATGCTGTTCTTTCTTGCAGGTTTTTGAGTTGAGCTCAACACAGGGACCAGAGGTGGGTCTTTTTCTATTCAGAAAGGTGCCTCACTTCAAAGTTCTTGTATGTGGGGGAGATGGTACTGTTGGCTGGGTTTTGAATGCTATAGACAAGCAGAACTATGTTTCTCCTCCTCCAGTTGCTATTCTTCCTGCTGGAACTGGAAATGATCTAGCCAGAGTACTTTCCTGGGGAGGTGGTTTGGGCTCTGTTGAAAGACAAGGAGGCCTTTGCACAGTGTTGCAAGACATAGAAAATGCTGCAGTAACCATTCTTGATCGGTGGAAGGTATCGATTCTAAACCAGCAGGGAAAGCAACTCCGACCTCCAGAATTTATGAACAACTATCTTGGTACGTAAACACTTTCCTCTTGCAACTGCCACATAGAATTTTATTATAGACGCAACATATTCTGTGTAGAAACCCAAGAGGATGTTGAATGATATGACCCTTGGTTTGCTACCAATAGGTTAGAGTACGTATCTCTTTTGGGTTATTTACTATCTAGAGTCTTATACTCTTTAAGTTTTCTAACTACTAAAATTATGTAGTTCTGGCAATAGTCCCTGGTTTAAAACATGTTTCATACACCAAGGTATTACTAGATTATCAAAAAAAAAAGAATACCTTTAGTGAGAAAAAATGTTTGATTTATAAATTTTATAAGCTGACTGTACATCAAAATTATGACATGTTGATTTGGTCGGTTTGAATGTGGGCTATAGTAAATTGACTTTCTAGACTATGGGTCAACGTTTGGCATACTGGATTAGAGTTTAACTCATTCTTTGGACCGTAAATTGACTTTCTAGACCATGGGTCAATGTTTGGCATACTAGATTAGAGTTTAACTCATTTTTTGGACCGTAGCAAGGCTTGAGTTTTAAATGATTATGTTGGCTTTGATACTTGGGGAATTTTTGTTTCTTTATGCGCAAAGCTATTTATGCATTATTGGCACTAACACTGGTGAGCATTGATTGCAGGAATTGGGTGTGATGCGAAGGTTGCTCTGGACATTCACAATCTGCGGGAGGAGAATCCTGATAAATTTTACAATCAGGTAGTCAACTTTGATTAGAATGAACTGTAAACTGATTTTCTAAATAAACGGCAACATGGACAAGGGGCCAGGATGTTTTTGTTAAAGTAGAAAACCTGGTACTGTTTTACTTGATACTCATTAAATGCTATGTACTGAAGTTTCATGATTTAATTTCTTGATTGGAAAGTTAAAAAGCATAAGGAAAGTAGTACAAGTAGAAGCACAAATAAATGGTTGAATATTGATTAGTCTGTCCAGTCATTTTTCCCGGGCCATGTATTTATTAGCCAAATTTGTTAAACTGCGTTCTTCTCATGAAGTCCCTGTTTAGCATTTAACTTACAGTGCAGGATGAATATTGTGCATTTCTTATGCATTTTACTTAATTCAACTATTTCACATGGAGACTTTAATGAATAATATGGCCCATGGTCATATAAGAAAGCATTTGGGGTGGAGTTCTTTTGCACCCAAATTTAGACTCCATACACCCTTTTTGTTAAGTGTACACATTAAAATTTTAGACAAATCTTTTAATCCATTTTCAAGAAAAATTGTGGTTTTTATTATGTTTTTCTTTCAACTAAGCATTAATCTATAAATTATGCGTTGGAATTTTGAAAATATGTGAAGTAAAATTCTATCTTTTAAAATTTTACAGTGATTGTATTTAGAAATGGTTGTTGATTTGTTGGTGCAAGTAGCCTATTGCTCATGTTGCAGAAATGTTTAAAAGCTATAGTCCATTCCAACTTGTTGTTTGACTTTTGTTTAGCATGAGCATGAATGACATAGGAAGTTTCTGCACACTTATTCTGTGTTCCTTGTCTCTTATTTTTTTTAATAATCCGGATTTCAGTTAGCAGAAACTGTTTCCTTGTTACTCCAGTTTATGAATAAAGTGCTGTATGCTAGAGAAGGTGCAAAGAGTATAATGGACAGGACTTTTCAAGATTTTCCTTGGCAAGTTAGAGTGGAGGTGGACGGTCTCGAGGTAGAGGTCCCTGAGGTGGGTATTGAGTGGATATAAATATAATAGAAGTTTTCTTTTAAATGTCAGACAAAAAGAATCAGGGTTGTTCGGTTATGGAACTGTTGGTTATGTTTATTAATAGATTAATATTATTGGCATCAAAGAATATGTAAATTTTTTCTCTGTTAAATTTCTAGAGTTTTCACATATCAAAAAGAAGAATTGGTATCAAAGTGACATTGATGTCCATTGCTTATGGTTGAAGAAGACATGAATTATATCAAAATGGCTTCTTTTGTTGATACCTGTAACATTTCAATTAAGCAACTTGTTATATAACAAAAACAGTGATGTAAAAAAGGGAAGCAGGTGCACTTCCAGAGTTTTCTTTTCCTGCCCGTTATTTCACTTTGTGCCTTCAACTTTATCTTTAAGTCTATCTGCAAAATACTTGAGAAATTTATTTTTCCTTTGTTCTCTTGGTTTAAAATTGTTGTTCTGATGTTATTTATAATTTTTTCTGTGAGCCTATATGATTTCATTTTGAGCATTTGCAGGATGCAGAAGGTGTACTTGTTGCAAACATTGGAAGCTATATGGGAGGTGTAGACCTTTGGCAAAACGAGGATGAAAATTATGATAATTTTGATCCACAATCTATGCATGATAAGATACTTGAGGTTGTCAGCATATCTGGAACATGGCACCTTGGAAAGCTTCAGGTAATGTGGTATTTTAATTATGACGCATGCCGTTGGTATCTGTATGTAAGTCATTCTTATTAAAAATGTTGGTGATTCTCTTTTGTAATAATGAAATTTGTAGATTTCTGACTTTCTTACCTGATGCTTTGGTTTCGGGTTCTATTTGGGAAATTATTCAAAAGAATACCAGGTTAGCTAATGACCAACTATTGATTCACCCCTGAATGTCTGGAATCAAATGTGACTTAAAGCACTAAGTTTGCTTTTCTTAATAAAGCAGAGATAATAGAAATTCAGCCAATGTCATTTAACCACAATTCCATCTGGCTTAATGTTTTGGTATCCCAAAGGCCGTCTAATCTTCTTCTACATCATTTTTGGACAGATAACATGCCACGGTCTTTGCTTTGTGCTATTTTGATTTCAGTTTGAGTTCACGGTAGTTTTTGAAATTTAAGGTTTTTACTTTGTGGAAAATGTTTCTGAGCTGCGTTTGTGTGATAATAGGTGGGGCTTTCTCGTGCTCGAAGACTTGCACAGGGACAGTCAATTAAGATACAGCTCTGTGCTCCTCTGCCTGTTCAAATAGATGGGGAGCCTTGGTTTCAGCAACCGTGTACATTAGTTATATCGCACCATGGGCAGGTTGTCTCTCTCTCTTTCTTCACTTTCCACATATCCACCCACCCAACCCGTTAATTTTTATTTATGCATGTGCTTGCTAAGAAAAACATCCAAATCAATCTGAGTACACTCACAGCAGCAGCATACTGCTAATTGCAATCAGTCTTTAAGTTTTCAGAAAGTTGATTTAGTTATTTGAATGCAACTTGGAGAACCCTGTTTTTAAGGATTTGGATGTTCAGCTAATTCCTTTATCTTGGACAGGCCTTCATGCTGAAACGGGCAGCTGAGGCACCTCTTGGTCATGCAGCAGCGATAATTACAGATGTTCTCGAGAATGCTGAAACCAATCATATAATTAATGCCACACAGAAGCGAGCTCTTCTTCAAGAAATGGCATTGAGGCTGGCTTAAAGGTTTTTCATGCCACTCCAGTTGGTGATACGTTTTTGGTTGCGTAGCATATTTGAAAATATCTTTTTTGGCTTATCAGCATTTCTTGTTTGTCTTTTTGATTGTCATATATAATGATTTAAAAAAATAGGAACAATATAGCTGAAGCATGCTGTAATTTTGTATACGAAAAGGGACTTACTCAAAAAGTTTATAGGAGAGTGGAATTTTGACAATCTTGTATTGAAAAATGAGGGTATTGACTGAGAAAAAAATCCTTTGCTTTTAAATTGTTTAAAATTTTGAAACTTCAGTCTCTTTCTCTAATTAGTTATTTACCAGAAAGTGGAGCTATATTGTTGCGACAAGCGTACTTGTCTGATGTTATATTGATCAAATTATATTATTAGACAAGAAACTATCTGCCCCAGTTGAAAGTATTTAGCACAATTTAAAGAGAATGGCCTTTGCATTGAACATAAGATTTTTGATTCATTACACTAGTCACCAAAGTGTACACAAACTCTGTACATTGATTATCATAACACAGCTTGGTTAAAACTGCACTTTAGTTACATTTATGCAATGCTTATTTGGTCAACTATAGCTTTTCTGATTAGTCCTGAACAACCCTTGTTTAACTTTCTTCCATAGCCTTGCTAAAAATCCCCTGGTAGCTGCCCTCGTGTTCACCTTTCTGTCGATTTCTCGGAAAGGAGCTTGTGAACACATAATTTTCTTTGGTGTCTTTGCGTTTTCTTTGTAAATCCGACCTAGGCGCTGACGGTAGAATGGGGATTTTATGTAGTTGATATATGTAGGCGATCCAGTTGTGCCTTGCATGGCCTTGTTGAGTTGGTGAGTCACAGCTTGAAGCTCGTACGAGTCAAATAGGGTGCTGCCATTGGGGCGGGGGCTTGTCCTCCAAACGGGGTTCAGGGTCACTGATAGTTGTTTCTCAGCCGGGGAATTTGTAGAAGTGGGCAAGCCCCTTTGGTTTGAGGCCTCTCCCATCTTCTGTGACCGCTGTTTCATTGATTTTGCTGTTTTGAATGTGTTTGTGAGTGATGTTTCTTCGTAGGTAACGTGGGTTGATTATAATATTCTGAACAAGAAAATTGCTTTGTTTTCTACGTTTCAGCATGTTCTCACATGGATTTTGAGTATCATTGTGGTAGATTATGGTTGGTTTAGTGGGTATGGCATAAGGAATAGATATAATCAGTGAAATTGTTTTTGATCAGGAAGTAAAAAGCAAAACGTAAAAACAATAGTCTTGTGGGGGCTGGTTGAAGATCCAAACAAGCGTATTAGTTATTCCTTTTTGTTGTTTCATGGGTGTGTAGATGATGTCAATTGGATGTATATACAAAGTTAGTGTTTTGATAATAACTGTTGAATTGGTTAAATAGGTTTATTTCATATCAATTTAGGTTAATTCAACTGAACTGTTATTACCCATTTGACTGAGTCATAAGATCTCACTAATATGACAAATCTTAAACTAGAAAATAAGGTTAAACTTTTAGGATTCTTCAAGACGTGGTGGCAATATTTGATGCCCACATAATTGGGTGGAACATTAGAATTGGTTGTACAGAATTTGAATGAAGACAAAGAAAAGAAAGTGGGTTGGGATGAGTAAAGGAAACGGGTCAACAAACAAGATGGCTTTAGACTTGAGTGGAGTAAGTCAACTAATTAGATGTCTTATTTGGTACAACGACGTTGCTTTCATTGAGGAGAATTAGCTGAAAATGACATTGGAGCCTAGAGTTTATGCGTTAATTGATGGTGTTGTGTATTGATTTTATTAGTTTTGGTAAAAGGAATGTGGACATTAATATTAAAGATATGTGAACTCACTTTTGATTTCAGTTCTTGCATCCGAAAAGTTTTCCATTAAAGACTCAACCAGACTTGTTTCAAGTTCAACATCAATAAAAAAATCAACCAAAAATGTCTTTTAATTAGGCAATTCATATTGGTAGTGTTATCAGTTTTCAACAGCAATCTGGTATGATAAAGTGTTAGGCTTTCGTCCACTTGTAGGGTAGGGTTACGGTATTGCCTTTGTATTTTCATTCATAAAACACCTAATTAATGTTTACTTACCAAATTCCCTCCTTTTTTTTTTTTTTTTTCGCTTCAATTGCTGTGTTTGTAAGCCTAATTAATGAATTGTATGACTAGCATGCTCTATTCATATTTCCCTTTTTTATAATTTTTTAAACCACACAAATCTATTCATCTACAAACAAATATTAGGAAATATTCCTAATATTTATTCTAAGCATATTAAAAGGAGGTGTTTGTTTGAGCTTATGAAAATTAGATTATAACATTTAAAATTTTAAACAATTACGTGTTTGATTAAAATACTTATAATGACTGATAAGTAGTTGACGTGTTTGGTAAAATATGTTTTAAGTATATTTTATTATAATAACTAAAAAGGGTACTACATTAAACAAGGATATACTAGAATTTTAAAATTAAACAGGATAATGTGGTATAACTTGGTCAAACTAACTTATAAGCAGATTACTTATAAGCAAAAAAAAAAAAAAAAGTTATTTCCCCCAACTTATTTTTTTGCTTGTAAGCTCAAAAAAGTTATAAACAAACGTCAGCTTAATTTTAGAGTTTTAAGCTAGTTTACAACTATAAGCTTAGACAAACACTCTATAAGATGTATTTCTTTCTTATTTTTTTTTTTTTCTCAAATTTTGTATTAAAAGATAAAAAATTAATGATAATTTTATTACATTGTGTTTATATATAACAAGAGTTCATTTTTATTTGATCTCTGTTGTTGTATGAACATTTGATCAACTATAACAAAACATATTGTATTTGATAGTTGATTTTGAAAGGGATATAATTGAAAATAAAATTTATTCATTAGACGTTTTAGTTTTCATTTGGCTTTTTTATTTTATCTTAGACTATGTAAAACTAAAAAAAAATATTTTTCATGTTTATTCTTGTGTACAATTTGAGAAAAAAATATATGTATTTCAAGAGAACACACATTTATATAAGAACCATTCTAGAGTGGCAAATAAAGAAATAACGGGTTAAGACGTTCAACTCTTATAAAGTTTGATTAAATACAAAAATCTCGTTTTTTAAATAAGAAAATTTCTTTATAATTAAGTATCTACAATGTAGAGCAATCCCAACCCAATTGTCTTAATTGGCGCACCTATCCTACAATGTAGAGCAATCCCAATTGTCTTAATTGCCTTTTATATTTTCATTTCTCAAACACCAAATATTCTATTTCTTTTCTTCATATTCTTTCAACTTTATTGTCTATTCTAGTTAGGCAATGTTTATTTACCCAATTCCCTTTTTTTTATTTTTTCTATTTTACAATTAAGTTTTATGTATAAAATAAAGTCATAATAACGTAATTTTGAATAGAGGGAGATTTTTGTCATTAACTATTATTTTTTTGTAATCTCTTTTATTTTATGGTAAGGTAATCAAGAATCAAAACCTAATAAAGGAAATAAATATAGATGGAATGAAATTTAAAGGTCCACCAAAGAATTATGAAAAATATAGACACCAAAATTTAATAAAATGAAACTGAATATTTTGTTGTGTATTGCCAAAACATTTATACCCTAAAACCCAATTTCTTTTTATGTCATAACTCATTCTATAACTAATTCCACCACGTGTAAAATATAATTAATTATTCAGTAGAATGAATCTCTTTATAGTTATAATATTGAGACCAACTAAATTTATTATTATGAGAAGATTATAATTTATTATAGGTGTAATTATAAAAATTATTATTTCGATTCAAAAATTATTGTTTTAATTTCTTATTTTATAATTTATGTTTGAGCAGTACAAATGAATTGAGTAATCAAATTCGATAACTTTACTACACTAATTAAATTGATATTAATTTTCTCTTCAATCATCCAAATAAGCAACAAGTCGTGTATGCTTTAACGGAAGAATAAATCATTATTAGAATTAGACAAAAAGAGGAAGGAAATAATCTTGAGAATGATAGTACGAAAATATCCAAAGTTTCATGCTAAAAAACTCTAAATATGTTTGAAAAGCTAGAAATATTTTGGCTTCAATAAGAAGATGTCTATGCTGGTGACTTATTACGTACCTGCAAGATAAAATATGTGGTGACAATTCTAAAAAATAAATCATTGTCTCAAACAACTTTACATAAATATTTTATTTTATCTTAGACCTTGAATGTAATATAGTATATATTTTTTATAATATACATCTAATTATTATTATATAAACGCAAGTTTCTTAAAACAGAATCTTAAAAATTTATAATTTATTATAATATAAATTTTATTCTTATTTATAATTGATTAAAATTAAAATAAAATATTTATAGTTTAATAAAGATTATTCTTATATAAAATATAATTTTATTTTATATTAAAAAATAAAATAGCCAAGTACCCACAAATTTATACCTGAGCCCAGTTGGCAAAAACCTTGGCTTTGATAGTGACAACACACATCATTGTCAATTGATGAAATCTCAGTAGGAAAGCAATAAAAGTCAAGTTAATTAATACATTGAACAATTAAAAGATTATAATATATTCTGACACCCCCTCAATTTGGGAAAAATTAACACTCTCACCCCTAAATAGGGTTTTTATTAAATTAAATATGACAGTGTAAGGCATAGAATAGATATTTTTAATAAACAATTGACAATTTTAGACAAACAATTAAAAGTTAAGGCCAAACGATTTTGGTCATTTTCTCTTTAAAAAAAATGCCCTTTTTAATTAAACAGCCAACCAGTTTAGGAGTTTATTCAAACTGTCTTTTTAACCAGTAAAACCTACGTCAAAAGTGTTAGTGTTAGTGTTAGTTTTCCAAAACTATTCACCCTAAAAGATTACTATAAAAATGGCACACAGAATTCCAGTTGAGAAATGATTTTGTAGTAAACTTGAAGCTTTTCCCTCAAGTGTTTGGTGCTGATTTCTGGGCATTTTATCAGGTACCAACATATTCTCTGTAGCAATGCATGGTTTGTTTGCTTCACAATCAATCTTTCTTAACTGCCACTTTTTTTTTTTCCCCCCCTAATTTTCTAATCAAAACCACTTTTTCAACCCGCCAAAGCACGTTGTTTCTGGACTCTAAAGCTTCAGTTTTTTTTTTTTTTTTTTTTTTTACCAAAAGTAGTAAACTTTTGATGGTTGGTAGGCTTATGCCATTGCCATGTTCATTTCCTCATGAACTGTAAAATTTAAGATCTTCTGTTTCGTTTTTTTATTTGTTTATAAAAAACTAGAGGAAAGGTTACATCTGTAACAAGAATTATTTATTTTTAAAATTATTGATGACAATTTTATGGGTTAGTCAATATTTTGGTCTTTCAAGTGTTGCCATATGTTTTGCAATCAGTGGACTGTTGACAGATCAAATTCAAAAACCTTTGATTTTTGTGGACTTTAACAAATAGCAACTGTTCAAAATCTGAAATGTATGAACTGGCCTTTGGTTGTTTTACAAGTAAAAAAAGGTGTGCATGAATGACGTTCCCTTGTTTGGTACTGAAAGTTGCAGTCTGAAAACGTGTTGAACTTTTCAGTTATAGCTTTTAAATCTGACTTTGCTTAGTCTCGTGAAAGGTACATATATATAGTAGATCTTAGATGGGTTTAATTTTGTATATTTATAATCCTAGGTTGCTTTGCTTCGCCTTAAACGTAGTTTGTTGTTGCGTACAATAGTCCTGGTCCATCACTTATATATTTTTTCACTTTCTGCTGTGGGGTTCTTGTGATTTTCCTGCGTATTTTGAGATAAATAAGGTACTTTTGGCCACCCTTTACTGAACTTCCTTCATGATCTCATAAGATGTATTGTTTTGGCATGTGGGTTTGAGGTTTGCTTCAACTTTTATTTTTCTTTTGTTCATTGATTTTTTTGTTTGTTTAATCTAAATTGGTTTCTGGGAACTTTTGGAAATCTGTTTGCTAGTATCGTTTTTTTTTTTGGAAAAAGGAAGAACTTCTTTGTTTAGAGCTTATTTTCGATATGGGATTTTTGTCTTGTAGCCATGTTCACCAAGAATATACTCTGACTCTCTTGTTACAATTTCATTTATTCGGAATGGGATTATGGAATTAAGATAATGGTGAGTAAATCACTTCATTGTTTGCAAAATGGAAGAATTTTTCACTTTTAGTTTTGCTGGCAGATTATTTCAACTCTGGTTTTCATGGAGACCTTACATATTGGGCTATTTCTGTTTTTTCTCTTTCTTTTTTCTTGATCAATCTGAGCATATGTGGAAAGAAAGGTTCTGCATAAATTGTTTTTTAATCTTACACTTGTATGACAATTTGGCTATTTCAGTTTCTATATAAACATCAAAAATGGTGAAGATCTGTTGCATTGGAGCTGGCTATGTTGGGGGCCCAACCATGGCGGTTATTGCGCTCAAGTGCCCCAAGATTGAAGTAACTGTTGTGGACATCTCAGTTCCAAGGATCACAGCTTGGAACAGCGATCAGCTCCCTATTTATGAACCCGGTCTTGATGAGGTGGTGAAGCAGTGCAGAGGGAAGAACCTCTTCTTCAGTACTGATGTTGAGAAACATGTCTCAGAGGCAGACATAATTTTTGTTTCAGTTAATACCCCAACAAAAACTCAAGGCCTTGGCGCCGGCAAAGCTGCAGACCTTACATATTGGGAGAGTGCAGCTAGAATGATAGCTAATGTATCGAAGTCTGACAAGATTGTTGTCGAGAAATCGACAGTACCTGTGAAAACAGCTGAGGCCATTGAAAAAATCCTGACTCACAATAGCAAGGAAATCAAATATCAAATTCTCTCAAACCCGGAATTTCTTGCTGAGGGTACTGCCATACAGGACCTTTTTAATCCTGACAGGGTTCTCATTGGAGGCAGAGAAACTCCTGATGGCCAAAAGGCAATTCAAGCATTGAAACATGTTTATGCTCATTGGGTGCCTGAAGATAGGATCATCACAACCAACCTCTGGTCAGCTGAGCTCTCCAAACTAGCTGCCAATGCCTTCCTGGCTCAAAGGATTTCTTCAGTCAATGCTATGTCAGCTCTCTGTGAGGCTACCGGTGCTGATGTTACTCAGGTTTCTCATGCTGTTGGGAAGGACTCGAGAATTGGATCCAGGTTTCTAAACGCGAGTGTTGGTTTTGGTGGCTCTTGCTTTCAGAAGGATATACTGAACTTGATATACATCTGTGAGTGCAATGGCCTCACAGAAGTTGCTAACTACTGGAAACAAGTTATTAAGGTGAATGACTACCAAAAGAACCGTTTCGTGAATCGGATTGTTTCTTCCATGTTTAATACTGTTTCAGGCAAGAAGATTGCTGTTCTGGGTTTCGCCTTTAAGAAGGACACAGGCGACACAAGGGAAACTCCAGCTATTGATGTCTGCAATGGGCTGCTGGGCGACAAAGCTCGCTTGAGCATATATGACCCGCAGGTCACAGAGGATCAAATTCGAAGAGATCTTTCAATGAACAAGTTTGATTGGGATCATCCAATTCACCTCCAGCCGGCGAGCCCCTCTGCAGTGAAAAGAGTGAACGTGGTTTGGGATGCATATCAGGCAACAAAGGATGCTCATGGGGTCTGCATTCTTACTGAGTGGGATGAATATAAGACACTGGATTATCAAAGGATTTATGATAACATGCAAAAACCCGCATTCATATTTGATGGGCGAAACATTTTGGATGGTGCAAAGCTAAGGGAGATTGGATTCATAGTTTACTCAATTGGGAAGCCATTGGATCCATGGCTCAAAGACACAATTTCTATGGCATAAGATAGAGTTTCATCGCATGGGGTCTAAAGCTCAGGAATGGAGATCTTATTCATTTTTATATATTTTTTTTTTTCCAATTTCTGGTGATTATGGCTTTAAAATCATATTATTTGTTGTCTTGCTCTAAAATCATAGTATTTGTTGTCTTACCAGAAATTTAATACCTAGTAATTTGCTGTTACAAGAATAAAAGATAAATGATTTTGCAAAAATAATGGTAATAGAAAACATTTTCAAATACATCAATTGTCGTTTCCTCCTTTGTTATACTTTGCCCTCATCACTAAATTTCGAAGTTTTTACTTATATTGTTATACATCATGATAGGAAATACTTCAATTACATCCCAATTGAGGCATTTAATTAATTATTTCCCATACACTCCTCAATCCTCAAATAAAGCACCATCAAATTCAATTAAATCCCAAGAGACGCAGTATCCCACAAGACCCTAATTTCGTTATTTTAAGACTAAACATTATAATAAAATGTATATTTGATTATTGTTAAATCAATAAAATAAATTATAGTTAATGATACAAAAACATGCAAAATGAAAAAGACAAGACAAGAACGGTGAAAAATTGGACAAAACTAACAGTTTAACAAACATAAAAGACAGATAGTAATGCAATGTTGCATAGCACTGTTTTAAAATCTGGACCGGACCGGCCAGTCGAATCGGTTGGACCAAGAGCCGGCACCAACACCGGTCTGAAAACCTTCTAAACCCGCTTTTAATAATTAACCCGGAATAAATCGGATTTGGACCGGCAGAATAGTGACAAACCGCCGGTTCAACCGAACTGGTGGCACAACTTAGTCACCAAAAATCCCTAAAAACAATTTCCCTTTTTCCAATTTCCAATTCTCCATCTTCAATTTTCATCATAATTTAAATGCCTATTAACATATCACAACATTTTATAGTAACAGCTAATGTTTCAAAATTTAAATTCATGGATTATTGGATGGAAAAGAATGATTGCAGCAAATACCAAACAGTCCAACCAACAAATTGCAACCCAATCAATATTTCAAAGAAAACCTTAGGTAAAGATGTCAAAAAGCCAACAAGATGCGCAAGTAGCCAACTAGCCATCGTAGATTAAAAAAAAAAAAAAAAAAAAATGATGCAAGGAAGAGAAGAAACAAGACAATAGAAGAAGAGAAAAAAGAAATGGAAAAAGGAAATCCAGCAACCATGAAGCCTCCACCGTGGTGAATAGATCTAGCAGCCATGAAGCCTTCACTATGACGGATAGATCCAACAACCACGAAGCCTTCACCGTGGTAGATAGATCCAGTAGCCACGAAGCCTACACCATGGCAAAGCAACTACGAAATCTACATCGTGGCGGAGCAACCACAAAGTCTACACCGTTAAGGTCCAAACAGTAGTCATGGTAGATCGAAAGAAGATGCAAGTGAGAGAAGAAAGGGAAACAGTAGAAGAAGAGAGAAAGAAATGGGAAAAATGAATAAAAGTAAGGAATTTAGGGTTTTCTTTATAAATTTTAAAAAGTCAATAATATCCTCTTTGAAACGGCGTCGTTTTGGATTTTAACTAACATCATTATAATGATGTCACTGGTCCAACCTGCCGATCCAACCGGTTGGATCAATCAACCCGAGACTCGAGCCCTTGACTGGGTCAAGGCTCAGGCCGGGTTTTAAAACAGTGCTGCATACCTCGCATATAAGAACCAAAACACCCTCAAATCTAATAGCATAACTAAAAATTGGCACATTCTTGTACAAAGAAATCAAGTATATATTTCTAGATGGTGGAATGAAACCATCAACAAAATTAATTTCTACCCATCAAGCGAGACCATTCAAGATTTCAACGAATGCGAATGTATTTACAATTTGGTACCTCAAATACACAATACTTCCAACATTGTCCCTTTTACTACTCTGTACAGTGTACGCTTTGACATCTCGAGAAAAAAAAAATTGGGTCATCCCTAAAGGCAGTAACAAGTTTCATGCACATATCTCACAGGCTAATAGCTATTTTCTTCTTTTATGTTTTCATGTACCGTCTCTTGCTCATTGAATTAAAGCGGGGAATTTGAAAAGGCGGCTTTTTCTTTGGATTTGTTCCTTCAGGGCCCAACCAGAAATCGTTGGTAAAAAATAAGCATCAAGCTACATGACAGAAAAATTGATGTCTCTATAGAGTTGTCCATCTCTTCCTGCTAATATACAACCAGTTGTTATGATGCACGTCCTGCTCCCCGTGGCATCTTCTTGGACGCCGCTGTCACAGAGAAAAAGAAAATCAGTAACTCATAGGACCATGCAATTATTTAATACCAAAACGAACAAGACTTTGGATTGCCTCATGCAATAAAAGATAACCTCTACAATAAAGAATCCCGATAGAATACTTCCATCTTATACCATATAGAACACCTGCAAGTATCTAACATAACTATCTATAAGGTTTGTTCATAATACTACAGCTTTCTAGGTTGTTAGCTCAAAAGTATCGGTGGTGGGAAACATAGGCTTCGTTTGGTTGGATTTTGGGAATACTACTTTTAGTATTCCCAAAAAAGTTAAATAGTAAAATACCCAAAAACTCACAATATTATTCAACTTTATTCAACATTTTTAAACCCCCTAAATTTGTTAATTCAATTAAATACCCCTAAATATTTTTAATGTTTTTGTTACGACGACTCCGGACACCCTCCGACGGTGGTGGCCAGATGTCCGTATTTGAGGGTGGATTGGGGGTGTTTTTATTAACTTTTAATGTTTTATTATAAGGGGTGTTTTGTAAAAAAAACAAACATAGAGGGTATTTTATAATTTGTAAATCCTACATCGTAATACCCGCCCAATTCAACTTTTTTTTAACTTTTTTCAAAAAACTTTTCCCAAACACACAAAATTGTGAACCAAACGGAGCCATAATGTTTTACTCCCTTCAGTATGTTCCCCCCTCCCCCCAAAATAATAATAATAACAAAAAAATCGATGGAACCTATGTCTGAATGAAATTGAAATCAATCATGAGCAAAAAAGCATGTGCATTCGGAGAACATCAATAATGAACATCAATAATGGTACAAATTAATAGTATTATATGACAAAAACTGAAATTGTTGGACAACCGGTTTTTTAAGTAAAAATTCCCAGACAATAAATGGGCATTATCCAGGTCTTATTACTTTCATATCATTCAAACGAGAACGTAAGGAAGATGAAAAAGGAAATATCCTGAAATAATTATCCACGCTTTGTCAACAGAAAAAAAATTAAACTCACTTGAGATCAGTATTTTGATTAATTAAATCCTGATGAAAAATGCTTTACCTACTACCAATCTATCTGAAAAACTTCAGCGACTGACTTAACAGGGGTATCCAGGAACACTCTAAAAGAACCTAAACATACTAATCTTTATCATCAGAAACCCTAGTGATTGCCCTACTCTAACTATCCAACCAGTCTGCACATACAACATGTAATTTTTTATTATTTCAATCTATTTACACTGGCAGATCTTAGATTCAGATTATTTGATCATAAGTCTCCTTAACAGTGTTAGTAAATTATGGAAGATTGCAATTCTGGTTTGACTGCAGAGAGAATGCACCAATATTCAGCTTTACACACACACACAGAGACAACACACAGAGAAAGAGAAATAGAGAAAAGAGAAACATACGATCTTCAACATCCTTCATCTGGTAATAATGGGGGGCTATTTCAACCAACCAGTCTGGTTTTAGTTCAGTTACCTGCAATTGATCAATGATTGCAAAACATGTCAGCCAAAGAACCTGCTCTGGGGAACATGTAATATAAAGTAGCCAACGGTTGAAACTGACCTGTCTCATATATTCTTTGGTCGTCAGAACCAATTCATGGTACACAACCCATCTAGGCAGCACCTGAAATGAGCAAAGAAGCAAAATCTTAAGCACATTATGGAGATATATAACTTTAGGATTCTATAGGATGCCTTAACCAACACTTGTTTTCTACTAACTACTGCTTTCTTGTTTTCTCACCAAGAAAAGATTAATGGAAATTGATTATTGTTTTATGCTACTGGCAAAACGAACCCACCATAAAAGTTTGTAAACATATTTACATGCCTCAGTTGATGTAGCATGGTGAAGTAGAGTGTTGAACTGGTTAAGACACAAAAGATCAAACTTAATCAAGTAACCGGATTATTACTATACTAGTCCTTGTAACCTGTAACCCGTAACCTGGGGCAGCACATACTATTATATGGAAATGTCCATGTAAAATGTGCAACAGCACGTGGTTTATTTAACAGTAGCATACCCATGGTACATCTATGGAACAAAAGAAGTACAAGGAAAATTTCACTATCTTTCCTATCGTTTACCTAAATGCAATGCGGTCAGGACATAATAGTTTCAAAAATACCCCGTAGACTCCCTTCTGCATTGAAAACCAACCTCTGAACTCCTCTCCAATGTATTTCAATAGTTAACCAGTGAAATTGTACCAATTTTACCCTCAAATTTTCAAGTAAATGAATAATTAAACTTTTTAAAATTTACATGATCAAATAATCAATGAAAAGAGTTATACTGAACAACAAAAATGAATCTGCAGGAACCAATTGTATATAAAACTAATTTATAATATTTTTGTGGGGCAGGCCATAACAGAGCTCGACCCCTGCATAAAATTATACTTTTATCAACTTAATGGAATTACAATGAAGTTACGAAATAGTCACCTGTGCCAACCCTGAGCTGGGATGTATATGAACTCTTTGTGGATGTTTTACCGTCCAGTAAGATCCATTTTTCTGCAGCTTTGCAGAATGAGGGAAAAAACCTGAAAAAAATGACAAAGCAATAGCAAGCATTAAATTCAACAATGCCCACAAGAATTTTGATTTTAAGTCATCAAAAGTAAATAGCAATTGCAGTCTTACCAGATGTAATGGCCTTCTTTATGGAATCTAAATCACCCAGATTGGATGTTAGTTCAATTTCAACCCTCTCCAGAAGCCCCTCTAGCTGGTCCCTGATATCTCTGGCACGTTTCATACTCCTCACCTGAAAAAATTAAAAACACAAACAAGAAGTTATTAGCGTATGATATGCACAATAAAGCAGTGTAAACACTAAGTTCTGTATCAAAGAAAGTATACAAGACTACAACACTCTACAATTCATCAAGTGAACATATACAAAACCACAACAGTCCACAAATAAAGAATTGGTGTAATTACATGTGATAATGTCACTTGGCTGAGGAAGAAAATGAATATTATCATTTTGCAAATAAATCCCTTAAAAAAGTAATGGAAGAAAATATCTTTCCTCATAAACCGCTGTGATTTTTGTGAATCCTTTTCAATTACAAACCTAATAAAAAATTAACAACTTACAATCTCCACAATCATTTCATCTCAAGCCAATGATACCGACAATTAAACTGAAGTTTACGAGGAAACATGAAATATGACTGGAACGAAAGAACAAAAATCAAATTAAAGCAATTTAGAACATCATAATATACCTGAATATAATTCTCATAACACCACTGTGTGGAGTAATTACATTCCCTCCAAGAATTGTAAACCTGAATAAAGATAACAAAGAGGTTTAATAAACTTTTAAGAGGCAATATCCCAGGTAACACAATCAGGCTAATTAATAAATTCATAAAGTTATTCATGCAGCTACAACACTAAGGATGCAAACTAAAAATTCTACTATAACTATTAATATGTTTAACTACTTTCACCATTTTTTTAACACTAAAATACAGGTGTCATGTTTAACATTTAAAAAAATATATCCAACCTAAAATAAGGAGCAAAATCAAATTAATAATTTTCATCTAACATGTTGGTGCAGATGCAAGACAGGGAACAGATATTAGGAAAAGAATGCTTATAAAGAAATACAAACAAAAAAAACAGATACCAACCCTAAGCAACGCAATATGATCCCCAACGTTCCCTAAGTGAAAGTTCATTCTTGCATTATCTGCATGAACTTGTTTGTCCTTCGGACGATAGAAGATTGAATTTCCAACAGAAAGCATAGCAGCAACGGTAATGATCTCATCAGAACACTTGTACTTATCAGAAGCAACAATCATCTTAGACAACATAGGATCAAGAGGGAACTCTGCCATCCGCCTGCCAACTTTAGTCAACTCACCAAACTTGTTCAATGCACTAAGGGCAAAAAGTAGTTCCAAGGCTTTCAGCAATGCTTCCTCTGGTGGGGGGTCTATAAAATCAAAGTTTACCAAGTCATCAATTCCAAGACTCTTAAGAATTAGGACAACATTTGCAAGGTTAGTCCGTTGTATTTCTGGAACTGTATTATCATCCATATCCTTGTGATAATTGTAAAGAGTATACAATCGAAAACATTTTCCTGGACCTGTTCGTCCAGACCGACCAGCACGTTGCATGGCTGAAGCTTTCGAGATGGGATTGACTAGCAAAGACTCCATTCCAGTCCTTGGATTATAAGATTTCACCTTGGCGAAACCTGGATCAATAACATACTTAATTCCATCTATTGTCAATGAAGTTTCTGCAATATTTGTTGCAAGCACAACTTTCCGAGCCCCCGCAGGAGTTGGTTCAAATATTTTAGCTTGAAGCTCAGTCGGTAGATTTGCATATATAGGGCAGATAATCAGTTCAGCTATTTTCGTCCCCAGGCCTCTTGTCCTATGTTTCAATATTTCTTCCATTGTTTCGATTTCTTCCTGACCAGTCAAAAAAACTAAAATATCTCCAGAAGGCTGTGTTACATGGACTTGTAGCACTGTGACAATTGCAGCATCTATATAATCAGCTTCTGGTGCTTTCGTATAATGAATTTCAACAGGATACCGCCTCCCAGGAATTTTGAAAATTGGAGCAGAACCAAAATAATCACTGAATTTCTCCGCATCAAGCGTTGCACTAGAGATAAGCAGTTTGAGATCCGATCGAAACTTAATTAAATCCTATCACACATGAGCAAAAACAATCAGAAAATTAGCTAAGAGGACAAATTTTCAGAAAAAAGCCTTTTCCAATTCTTTCATACATCCATCATGTTGAAAATCTGTTGAGCTTTATATAAGTAATATTTTTTTTGTGACAATCTTTTATGTGAAAATCACTTTTCCATACCTCTCCAAAACAAATAATTAATTTGTTCTCTCAAGGAATGATATAGATCAATATGAAAATCAGATCTATTTCTACTTTAAGAAATACAGATCTTCAAATTTAAAGAATATGTTCAAATGAGAAGACACCATATATATCCATGCTTCTTCACAAGGGTAAAAATAATGCAAGATTGAGATTATCATGGGAATAAATTTATAAGACTAAAAGGCTCCTCACCTTTCATTAATCATAAGCATTATTTACTAAAAAAATGATGTATCACGACATTCTTCTATATATATATATATATTGTTTTTTTAATTTCATTTCTCTTCTTCAGAACCCTCCATCAATATTGTTTTTCCATGTTTCGATCAGATTTATAATAATAATAATAATAATAATAGTGACCACTGAATTGAAATAAAAGAATAGCTTTAGTCAAGTTAGAAAGAGGAGAGAGCAAAAAACATAGATCAATTGGAGTAAGTCAACCAATTAATATACATAAATTGAAGCATTTCTACTTGCCTTTAGTAATCCAAATAAAATGTCAGTCGACAGAGTTCTTTCATGAGCCTCGTCCACCATCAACACACTGAAAAATTAAATGTACATGACCAGTAAACCAAGGCAATTCAATACAGAATTAAAAAAAATGTTAAGTTGTAAAAAATGGCTAACCTGTAGCTTTCTAGGTTTGGTTCACTGAGAATCTCACGTAACAGCATTCCATCCGTCATGTATTTCAGAATAGTCTTCTCTGATGTGCAATCTTCAAAACGAATGGAATATCCAACCTATAAATAAACTTCAAACATTTACTATCCATTGTTTCTCAAACAATTAATGATTCATTAGCGAACTAAAAAAATTATATTGCCACAATAATTTATTATCAATTAATTTATTTTTCTTTTTTATTATGAAGAAAATATTGAATACACATGCAGAAGCAGAATGAGTGCAAATTTACGAACTCAAATAGATGATAGCTTATTTTATGATGTTTGGGGCACTCAGCAAGGAACTAAACTCTTCAAATGTGCCATGTTTGAAAGAAAGAATTATCTAAAACTGAAGCTCTTCAATAAAAGAGTGTAGGTGGTCATCTAGGTGAGCAAGCTTAAATTCAGCATATTAGAGGCACACAAACCCCATAACCGAAGAACAAACAGTTAGCCTTAGAAGACACCTATAAGATCTTTGACCATATTTGCACAAATAATACTAGATGTACAAACTCTTCTATACAAACTGTTGTGTCATAAATTGAATGGATAAATGCATGTAAAAAGTGAACTCAATAAATACTAAATAATTATAGATGGATGACGTGTAAATGAAATGAATTGAGTATTCCCACATTAGTTTATATATTTAATTGTATATGTAGCACCACTCTATTTGCACATCTAAATGAACCATACCATTGAGCAAAAAATAATATCCAATATGTTCTAAGCTTATAATTGATTAAATGAATTATAAACAAAGCATGACAAATTAGTTACCAAAAAGTATCAAACTACATCAAATTAAAGAGACATACCTCATGCCCAAGTTTGACTCCCATTTCTTGAGAAACGCGAGCAGCAACACTCATAGCAGCAACTCGTCGTGGCTGTGTACAACCAACCTGTGTATAAATAATCATCGTTCAGATAATTGCTCAATGACCTCCATATATTTATCAAAACTACCAAACATGGTTCTGCTAGCTCATTAGGAGTCTATTTGGACCAGAAGTGATGCAAACTTTGTTGCCTTATATGGAGAACCTTAAAGGTGCAAACTTGGAATCACAATACAGAAATATTGATCAAGCAGCATTCTAACAGAAGTAGCCACTGTACATCAAGTAAATAATCCAAAACAATTTTGCAGCAACTGCCTCATTACACTGAAAAGTTAATTAGAACAGACATCAAGTCTTTTTTAAGATCTCAAGACTCACATTCCTGATAAGTTCCAGACATAATGTTGGTCAAACATCTACAGCAATCAAATTCATAAATCACATTTTTATACATGATAAAACTAGTCTATGAGTAACAAATATTCATTGCAACTAAAGAGGGACAAAAAGAATATTCCAACATTTTAAACAACAGCCATTTACATCATAAAGTAATTCCACATAAAATATAACTCAGTCAAGTATACCCATCACCATCCGTTCACAGCAAAAAAGTATTAAGGAACAAAGTTTATACCTTTCCCTGCTTGGTGTAACCAGCTTCATGAAGATATTGGGGTATCTGTGTAGTCTTCCCAGAACCTGTTTCTCCAACTATAACAATGACCTAAAATAGAACAAGTTAGGATTATTAGAACTTGCAAATAGGAAACAAAATTCAAAATATACAGTTACATAGTTACATTGCTCTCAGTAAAGCAGTAGTGCATTGACTCCAATATGGGTGATACATGAGTGTCTAAGAGTGAGAAACTTAACCAAAACATACAGAGACATTGTAAAACATCAAACTATGCACAACTATAAGAGAATATATCTACAAAATTATATTACCAAAGCCCTACTTGATTCTCTACCCCTGGTGATTATCTTAACCTCAAGAAAACTGCACAAAATGGCATATTGGACAAGAATTTCATATGTTTCTCGTAACTTCTCCTACTCCAACCAATTGGACAAAAAACTGGACTCTATGAGGCATCTCATAGAACCTCACATGATCTGTTTTGTCTATTCAGGTCCTAGAGTAATTTGAGTAGTCTAACTTCTAGAGGAAACAATAAATAAAATTCATGGACCCATGACTGTTCAGCAGCAAAAATTGATAAGCATTCCTTGGTCAAACATATGTAAAACCTACAATTAAGAAATTTAAAACCTGATATTCTTGAACAGCTTGGAGTAACTGATCCCGATATGGATAGATGGGTAAGGTTTTCCTCTCCTCCTGAATCGTCAATAAGTAAACAGTAAATAAGAAGTAAAGCCGGCTTCATCAAATACATTAGTAATCCACAATCTAGGATAAAATCAATTAATATGCAACTAGACATATAATAATTTCCTTCTTCCTCTAAAGTTCATACAAGGAAATAACAGAAGAAATAGAAATTCACTATATGCAATAAATGAAATTGTTTTATAGAGTGTCTATTCAAATGAAGCAGTAAATGATGTCAAAAACCTGCACAACAATATTTGAATCCTGAAAGCACTAGTATTTGAAAGACAACTTTCTCACACATATACCTATTCTCAATTGGTCCATGTGGTTTCCAAGGTGACTAGAGTTACATCAACCACCAATTTTTAAAGCCACAACTGACATTATATGAGATCAAATCATAAACTTGAGTAATAAAATAGAAATACCACTTGACTCTTATAGTCAAAATTAGATTAAAATTTTTTCCAGTTGAGCTTAAGTAGCTATATCACTAAAGGGTTGCATAAATCAGACCAATTTTTATGTATCAGCAGTAAGAAAACCAAATATTATCATAACTTTACCCTTGAAATGTCATCAACCTTGAAGGCAGATCCAAAAAAATCTAGGCCCCATTCGTTTATGTATTGGATTTACTCTTTTCATATCACGCCTGGGGAACAACAAAATACGCATACGTTTACCAATTTTACAGAATTTGATTGTGGAAAATGACAGAAAACAGAGAGGAGGGAAAGAAGTGGACCCACCTCCTTTATATAAAAAATTAACTGGACCCACCTCCTTTACATAAAAAAATTAACTGGACCCACCTTTTTTATATAAAAAATTAAAATTTGTGTTGGAGTCCCACACCGATTAGGCTCGCTCAAGCCTACTGGGTTATAAGAGGGGATAATCCTCCCATTCAAAAAGACCTTATTAGGTGAGGAGTCAAACCCACCTCAAATTCTATTATGGTATTAGAGTTCAGGTTCAGTTGAGCTGAGGAATTAGAGCCGACAACTATCTCCAATAACAAGCATGACCCAACATATAGGCTTGACCGTGAGAGAAAGTGTTAGAGTCACACATCGACTAGGCACGCTCAAGCCTACTGGGTTATAAGAGAGGGTAATCCTCCCATTCAAAAAGGTTTTATTCAAATTCTATTAATTTGAAAGTAAATAATTAATATATTCTTGTAATCTCTTCCTAAATAAAAGTTTTTACTAAAATCAAGATTTTTAACACAGAATCACAAATGGGAAGCAACTGTTTGACATATTCAAGACAAACAAAATAAGTGGTAATTTGAATATATTTTATTGGGTGTGTAGGCGATAAAATTTGTATTTTTTATTTTTGGATTTTCAGACAAACATGCCGAACACATTTTCAAATACTGTTTTTAGACAAATATGCCGAATGTGTTGTCATTTTTCACATTTTTAAATCAATTCCAATATTCTCTAAAAAGCATAAATTTAAAAACACAAAATTGATAAAAGAACACGCCCTTAACATCTCTAAACTTTCCCCAAATTGATTTGCCTGTTTTTAATCTTATATCATATGCTTTAAGGTCTTCTTCTCTATACTATATGTTGCCCACAAATGCAAGAAGCTTTTACCAGTCACTTATGCCAAAATTGAAGGACATTAAATAGAAAATATAAAAAGAAATTATTAACGGGGTGCAGACCTGAAGCATCTCCGAGGCTAATTTCTCCTTGGGCTTGTCAAGCAATTCATTGGGCTGCTCATCAAACTGCAAAAGGTAAGCAGAAATCAATGAAAAATTCATCATGTAACCATAATAACCAAAATAATACCACTCTACAAGGAATGAAGTTAAAGAATTTACCTCATCGCCATCCATCACAGATGCCTTGACAAAGTCAATCTGGTCCTCAAACACATATCTGAAAACATAAAACATTATGAGGATAATAATTATGCAAACAAAAACAATGAGATCTAACTATCTATTTTGTTTCAAAGGAAAATAACTTAGCACTGAGCTCTAAAACAATGAGTTCTAATCATTTTATTTTGTTACAAAGAAAAGGAAACTAAATTAGCCATAAGCTATAATTATGTATTCATTAATAAGAAACAGTAGAAATTTTATTGCTATATCATATAAAATAAAATATAAGAAAAAATTCCAATCATCTATTTAATTTCAAGGAAACAGGGGAAAAGAATCTGCAAATCAAACTGGTAAAAAGAAATTAAATAGAGAAGAAAATGAAAGTGCTGTGTTGGATGATACACAAGTATAGTGACTGTCATCAGATATCTAAACTCACTGATAGTCATCGGATATTTGCTTCTTGTTTTTTGAACCGTATTTCATGTCTGCCTTTCCTGCAAAAGAAATGAATTGAAAATTAATATGCCAAAGTCCAACTACTATCAGACTACCTAATGAAGACCAAACTACCATGCAATCTAGCCTCCCCAACTCACATCACCCAAGCGCTACCCCCTACATCCCCTACCAAAGGAAAACAAAAGAAAAGAAAGCTAACAATATGCTAAAAGTGTCATGAGATTTACCCATTTGATGCTCCTCCCAAGCTTCTTGCTCCGCAAAAGGGTTCATTTTCTCCCCAGCATTATCCTGGCTGTAAGAATATGTAGTTGAGTTTAACAGGAGATTAAGTTATACTTCCAAAATATGAAAGTAAATGCTAATATGCTTGGTGGTAGTTACAAGAAAATTTGGTTTAAGAGCTTTTTGAGCAACAATTCCAGTGATTGCTATTATGTGGCACAATTCATCTCCAACTGACCTATAACGCTGCAGACTCACAGCAAATCGCTTTTCTTGATCAACATTACCATCCTGATCATAAGCTTCCGGCATCCGGTACTGCACTCCCAAATGACAGTGAGTATTTCATGCAGTTGGTAAAGAATCAACTAACAGATGCAGGATATAATAAATATTGATTAAAAATTGAAATTTAAAACAAGAAACGAAAAACAAGTAAAATATAAGTTAAAAGATGATTATCCCATGAAAATAATAAAACAAGTATTGATTACACTTCGGGGTTAAGAAGATTGTAACACAAGTTCTTGACAATTAATTTAATGCAGCCCAATAGATTTGAAAGAAAAGTTAGAGGTAGTTATTTTCAAAACCACTCATCAACTTTCTAATCATTGAATTGTATTAAAACAACGGTCAAGAGTTTGTGTTACAATAGCTTGACCTTTAAGCTTAAGTGAACCAACCAGAACCTAATCATTTGATGTGAAAGAAAAAAGAAAAGACTGTTTCCACAAGATCAGAAATGCAAAATTTTTCTTGCTAGAAATAAGAAATGCAGCACTGTTACAACCCCATTGTCTGTGTTTGCTGGTGTGGAACACATGACCCTCTAACATGACTTGAGCATTCATAGTGCCACAAATGAGACTCTACTACATTCTCATACACATGTGCACACCAGCATGGAGGCGAGACTAAACGTTTACCACAAAATACAAATAGAATTCTGCTCTAGCCAAAAAGTGCTGTAGTGTACATTGAGGCAATTTCAAATTGGCTACTAAAAATTGTGCAATTAAAATGTACTCTATGTATTAATATGAAAAATTGAATTTTCATGAGCAGCAGCAGTTCTTGCAGCACTTTAAGTACGGAGGCAACTCCAAATAAAAATATGGGAACTTGTTTTCTTTAAATAGAAAACCAGGAAATGTTTAATATTAGAGAAAATAGAGGTTACAAGAGTGGACAAGATGTCCACTAATATGACAGCCACCTCCCAGGAAATAGGAACAAAAAGCTACACAAAAGGTTAGCAGTGCAGCATAATCTGTGAATCATGAACAAGAAAAAGAGAGAAAAAAAAAAAAGGAAAAGATAAATAGTACTGCAAGGAATTTATTGAGTGGATTGAAATATAAACATTGAGCAAAAATAGAAGAATCAGAGGTGTATAATCACAAATTGTTTCCAGAAAGCTGTAGACAGATAGAAATAGACACTTTATTGATATAAATCCACCAGCAACAACAACTGAGTGAACGTCAGATGTACAAAATACACCATTTCCAGTAAAATTTATTAAATAGTAGCATTAGACCGTGCTACCAGAACCCCATACTGTTGCTTCATTACAAAAAAAGTTTAAAAGGAAAAAGAGTGAAAAGACACAAATGTGAACCAACCAACCACAATGAAGACAATAATACTGAGAGAAAACCACTTACAGAAAGACAGCCAAAACACACATTGTCTTCTTTATTGCACCCATTTATTATTACTATTATTTTTTTATTTTTGTAATCCAAAAATTCTACAGCCTTGCATTGCAGAGCTGAGTTTGAAACTAGAGCCCCTGCCGAACCCTATAATAGATTCTAGCAGGAAACAGTGACATTTAGCCATGTAGATGCCCATAGCAGACTCTAAACCCAAACCTTGTGGGAACAAACCATGGCCTAACCGCTTGGCTAAGCCCTCATGGGTCTTCTTTATTGCACCCATTGAACTATAAACACAATAATTAAATTCAAGCATGCAATGGGCTAACAGTTATTCTTCTAGTTAACTACAAAAGCAACCTTATGACAGAAACAAATATCAGAAACCACTAATTAAATAAATGTACCCAACCACTTGTTAGCTACCTCACTCAGAGTTTCAACCTCTTCTGTCCGCTTCTTAACAAGATCATAGATTTCTTTCTTGTACCTGCCAAAAAATGAAATCCACAAAATTATAATTATTACCTTACTTTGTCATGCATTACAGGGGAAAAAAATTTCAATCCCATAACAAATAACTAGAACCAGGAATATATACTCACTTTATAATGGAATTTATGAAGTTAACCAATTATTCATATGAAATATGTCAAAGCTAATAAATCAAAATTGTATGCAGAAACAAACGAGGGGATGTTCGGGAGACAATAAAACCATTCTCAACTGATCTCAAGAAATTAAAAAACTAAAAATGTACGGAAAAAAATATACCATAGAGATAAATTATAATAATAGCTAAAAAAAACATACAATTAAAACTATAGCATAGAAATTTCAGCAAAAAATGAATTATCAAGTTCCCATCAGTAGTTTTCTTATATAAGTTTCTGTTTGTTTATATAAACAAGTGAATGTTACACCACCTCACAGAAGCAGATATAAACTCAAAAAGAAGTGACATTAATTTTGGATTAACAGAAACTTTTAATGTCAATTTCACAAAATACTATATTGGGAGTAAAAAGACATACTTGATAACGGATAAGAACAGTGATGTTATATTCATAGTCAAGAACAACAAATAATTACCTTATTTCACGATATTCTGCATCTGTAAGCTTCACATTTTCAAATAGATATTGCTCATCTTCTATATCATCTCTGTAATACAATTTACAAAAATTAGGGGATTAAAGAAGGCAAGGAACAGAAATAAAATCAGCAATTTAACCACAAAATCCAGATTTAAATCCATAATACTTGATTTCTTCCAGCTTCTTTTGCTCCCTTTTCTTTAGATATTCCCGCCTTGAAATTTTCCTGAATCAGAGTCAATACATGAAAAAAGAATTAGTATTCTATGGTGTATCATAAGAACATTAACAAGAAAAAATAAAAATTCCCAAATAGATTAGGCAAAAGCATAATACTGGTACTACAGATAAAATAGCAAGGTATGCGTTTGGTTTAATATTTTTATCCCTATTCTGGATCCTATTTTTCAAATCGCGTTTGGTACAATATTCTCAAAATATTACCCTATTTTTTTTAATTACATTTTAACCCCATAAGGTTATTAATTTCACTAAATACCCCCTGAAAAAAAAGTTTAAAATTAACAAAAACACCCCCATCAACCCAACTTGTCAGATTCCGGCAACCACCGTCGGTGATAGCCGGAATCTGTACAACGGCCAAACTTCCGACCAGAAATGGCCGGAAGTTCACCGCTGTGGCCTTTTCCGGCCAGATCCACAACGGATCTGGCCGGAAAAGGCCAGATCTGGCCGTCAGCGACGGCCAAAGAAATGGCCGTCGTTGACGGTCAACGACGGCCAAATCTTGGCCGTCGTCGATCGAAAACGACGGCCACATCTTTGGCCGTCGCTGACGGCCAAAGATGGCCGTCGTTTGGCCTTTTCCGGCCGTCGACGGCCAAAACAAACCATAGATCTGGCCTTTTCCGGCCAGATCTACCATGGATCTAGCCGGAAAAGGCCATAACGATGTGTTACGGCACAGATCCGACAAGTCTGTGCCGTAACGAAATTTTCCGGTCAGATTCCGGCGGTGGTGGCCGGAATCTGACACTGCAGTGGTGGGGGTGTTTTTGTCATTTTACATGTTAGGGTCTTTAGTTAAATTAGTAAACCTAAGGGCTTTTTTATAAATTTTTAAAATTTACCTCGTAATACTCCCATATCCAATAACCCAATACTACCCCTAAAATCCTATCCAAAATACTAAACCAAACGCACCCAAGATTTTCCTCCTTTATTTTCCCCCTGAAATGTAGATCCTAAAATGCCAGCCTCAAATTAGAAGTTGATACTAGAAATCTCGAAGTGTTTCTAATAACAGTCGTGATGGTCTTATATTAGATCCACATCTAAGAAATTATAACGGACACAAAGGAATCAAGTGCAGGATTAGTGCTCGCATCATGAATCAATCTCAAATCTGGAAACTGGATTTTGACTTGATAAGCTCAAACCAAGGCTTTTGAAAAAAAATATTGGTTTAACTTGTTCTAGTTTTCTTGAAATGTTCAAGCACTCCTATGCATAACCAATAATTGATTAACCACTGTCATTTTACATAAAAACACTCCTCCAACATTGGTAGAAAGAGCCCCACTCTTAAGCATAAAACACCTCCATTTACATCAACAAAAAAATATTGGCTAATTGGCTAATGAGATTATGACAAGAAAGTCCTAAAAGTCTTTTAGAGAAAGATAATTTGCCACATCAATGGAGTAAAGAGATACTTATTCCACATTAAACCAGAAGCAACCAACCTAAGACCTAGAGGTAATAAACCACATAAGGAATCCAAAGATTTGAATCAACTATATCAAACTATTAAAAATAGCTATTTAACTTTTACTAAAGCTAAGGGTTCCATACCAATCTATTATTTCTAATGCTAAACCACAAAATTTGATGGTTCAAATTCCTATATTCCCTCATCATCCCCCCAGAACTTTTTCTCTAAGGATAGCAGCCAAATTCATTATCATCAAGAAGAAGTTTTTCCTTGGTATTATCTAATGCCATCAAGTTGACACAGTCATAGATGAAAGTAACCTCAATTACAAGCTTTGGCCAGCATATATCCTTCCTTACCAGCAAAAGAGATTGAAAATCCCTCATGGAAACAAAACCAGATCACAAAAGACATTCAAACATTAGCTTGCACTACTTTAATCTAGACGGTTCTACCTCTTTCTTGATAATACAATTCAGTCAAGTTGCCCAACTATGTTGGCAGCACCACATGACCATCACACACACACAATTCCTGAGCACATTGGTATGTACACATGCAGACAGAGTAACCTAACTCAGAACACACAAGTACAAACCTTAAATATTCCATTTCATTTTTCTCCAAAGCATTTGATCTTTGAATTGCCTCTTCTGTTACACAAAAATAAAATGTATCAATAGACTAAAACATCACATCTATAAACATAATCCATACTAACAAATGAGTTTACTTCATATAAATGTGCACATGGAGAAGTGAATGCAGAACTCTTAAAGCACTAACCTTCCTCCTTTCGGCTTAACTTTGTCTCAGTTAACTGTTAATAACAAAAAAGACAATTACAGAAATGAACATCAGTAAACAGAAATCAACAGAAAGCACACAGTGAAGATATACAATGAATCTGTGTAGATCCACATCTTAGACTAATTCATGACACATAATACGAAAACATATGTTAGGAAATTATGCTGTAAACAGGTGGCTCTTGCACTTATCAATGCCTCTTGTGAGTATCATGCAACATTGGATAGTTGGCATCAATCATGAAGCAAGTGCAACCATGTGACTAAGTTTGTTTGGAATATATGGTAGCATCCACATAAACACTATGGAATAACTAGTTAGCAAGCTTTAAGTCTGTTACGGAGTTGTCAAGAAAATTATTAATAATAACATTATCCTAAAAAGTCTTTTTCAGGTTTCATAGGTTAAAAAGTTCCCGTTAAATCCAGTCACTTATGCACACATGTAATAAGAATGTCGCATGAGATTAATATGTATATGCATGGTTTGCAGAAAGCATGGTGGTCTAAAACGAAGGCTCAACATAAGAAAAGAAACAGTCTAACAGGGATAAAATGGCAATTATTGTACCTTCCTTGTTGCTGCAGCATCACGTTCTCTTATATGTTGCTCTAATTGCTCCCTTTCTCTTTGATCACGCAATCTCTCTTCCTCGGACTGCATATCAAAACATAAAAGCAAAATTTAAAAGATGAAGGAGAAAAAACAAGAAAGATGGATGGTAAAAAGAATTTAAAACAGAAAGCATTCCTCTAACGAACAAAATGATAAGTAAAATGTCCAATGACTAGGGAGAAAAGAAATAGATAAAACCTATGGACTTCAATAAAGCACAAACGATTAATAATGTTGTCCAATATTCTAAGCAGGCAAACACAAAAGACAACACATGCCAGCAAACCAACAGAGCAGCCCCAGGTTCCACCTTTGATATAGCAATGCAGGAAAATAGACAACAATACTAAGGCTGAAAATGCTATCTAATAATATCAAATAATTAAAATAATAACTGAATTGATAAAATTTAACTTTTAAGTCAACTACCCAATTATGTCCTCAAACCAAAAGTCTTTTTTCTTTTATTTTTCTGTTTCCGGGTAGGAAACAGTAAAAGATCTATGGTACTAAAGGAAAAGGAAAAATAAACAAGTGGATTGAGTATCCACTGAAGAGTCCAGATACCCCAAGAGAGGAGGCAAAAACTATACAAAGTTATCAAAAAAATCGGTGTCGTCCATATTAAAGAAATATAACTGAACCAGAGCTATAAAGTGAAAAAAACACTTAAAAATGGATCAATAACAAAGACTAAATTAGTGCAAGACCCCATTTCAGTTGAGATGAATGATGAAGAACAACAAAACCTCAAGCGGAAACTCTCACTCAAGTAGCGAAAAAAAGCAAGGATCAGTTGCAATAAAATCACATGCTTTTATAAAGTATTAACATACATCAGAATCATCATCTTCATCCTTGGAAGTCCGTCTTTTAACCAGTCTCTTTTCTTCCACATGCGCAATCCCCTGCATCAATGAATTTCAAGAAATAATAATAATAATACCATAAGTAATAGGCTAAACAGAACCTTAAAAAAAGAACCAAAAACTAAATTGTTTTTCATTAGAGTATGAACATGCCTCATCTCCGTCATCTTCTTCAATTCCAGTTTTCTTTCTAAACCGTTTCTTATGTGAACCAACTTTCCTGGACTCATCAACATTTACGGTATCACCATCATCATCGGCATCCAAAATCATGTAACTCTTCTGCTTCCTCACCAACAGAGCAGCTTCCCTTTCCTGTTTCTGATATAGCTGGTATAGCACCAAGAACAAGAATAACAAGCAATTTTAGAGTTATTATGGAAAAGGAAAAAAAAGCTTATTGCAAAGTATCATATATGAACCAAATTTTTTTTTTTTAACGTTAGATATACAATGACTACACTTTTTATGACTACAAATTCAAAAATAAATAAAGAAATTCAACTACCAACCCACATTTAAACCAGATTCTTTACGGGGAACTTTATGGAAGACTTCTTGAGCAAATCTAAGGGTGGTATCCCCTGATTTAGGAAAATCACATTCCTCCTCTAGCTTGGTTCTCAAATCATCAGGGGAAGTAGCTTGCTTAGCTGGAGAATGAGCAACATTATTAGTAAACACATCTTCCATAATGATTCTACAAAAGCCAAATTAAATGGGAAAACAGGAAGTATGGTTATCTCACATAATCCGATGATGTATTGGACTATAGTGGGCTGAGAATATCCAAGCAGCGACATCAGCTCATCNTAACTCTTCTGCTTCCTCACCAACAGAGCAGCTTCCCTTTCCTGTTTCTGATATAGCTGGTATAGCACCAAGAACAAGAATAACAAGCAATTTTAGAGTTATTATGGAAAAGGAAAAAAAAGCTTATTGCAAAGTATCATATATGAACCAAATTTTTTTTTTTTAACGTTAGATATACAATGACTACACTTTTTATGACTACAAATTCAAAAATAAATAAAGAAATTCAACTACCAACCCACATTTAAACCAGATGCTTTACGGGGAACTTTATGGAAGACTTCTTGAGCAAATCTAAGGGTGGTATCCCCTGATTTAGGAAAATCACATTCCTCCTCTAGCTTGGCTCTCAAATCATCAGGGGAAGTAGCTTGCTTAGCTGGAGAATGAGCAACATTATTAGTAAACACATCTTCCATAATGATTCTACAAAAGCCAAATTAAATGGGAAAACAGGAAGTATGGTTATCTCACATAATCCGATGATGTATTGGACTATAGTGGGCTGAGAATATCCAAGCAGCGACATCAGCTCATCAGATATCCACGTCTTTAAAGCAAGATCACTCCCCATTACACTGTACGAAATAAGCAACAAAAGAATCAAAACAAACCAATAATTTAAATTTCACAAGAAGCACTAAGCATGGTAATACAGGGAAAGCATTGGCAAACTGTAGCAAATTGGAATAAATTTGAGCAAATAATAGTATGTAAAACATAATTTACAAACCCTAATTATGAAATTAGGAAAGAAGAAACACTGACCCGTAAAACTAGTGGAATCTTCCAATCTAATTCTCGCGTGTACGTTGTCGGACTGCGGAAACCCGGTGGAAGTTGTTTTGTCTCGACGGCTAGAATGCAAGCATGGAGTGAAGACAGAGCACGACGCCGTGTGAGTCAAGGAGGCGGAGAATGGAGGTCGATAAAGCGTTTGACGGGACTGAGTCGGAGAGGAAAGAACAAATTAACCACGTCTCTGGAAGTAAATATTAGAGGTCCCTGAGTTATACCCTACTCCTAATTCAGGATATTTTGATTTTTCACCAGCAAAATAGTCCTTAAACAAAAAGCCGTTAGTAAATTCTGTTGATGGACTGGAGAAATCTTGAGAAAACACTAAGTATGCTTTTGGTTTATTATTTTGGGTAGGATTTTGGGGATAGTATTGGATAATTGAATATGGGAGTATTACGAGGTAAAATTTAAAATTCATAGAAAAACCCCCTAAGTTTGCTAATTTCATAAATACCCTAACATGTAAATTGACAAAAATACCCCCACCACCTGCAGTGCCAGATTCTGGCCACCACCGCCGGAATCTGGCAGGAAAATCGCGTTACGACACAGATCGGTCGGATCTGTGTCGTAACGAGTCGTTATGGCCTTTTCCGACCAGATTCACCACAGATCTGGCCGGAAAATGCCAGATCTACGGCCTGTCGTGGCTGTCAACGGCCGAAAAAGGCCAAAACAACGGCCAAAGATATGGCCGTCGTTTTCAGTCAACGATGGCCAAGATTTGGCCGTCGTTGACCTCAATGACGGCCATTTCTTTAGCCGTCGTTCACGGCCAGATCTGGCCTTTTCCAGCCAAATCCGTGGTGGATCTGGCCGGAAAAGGCCAGATCGGTGAAATTCCGGCCATTTATAGTCGGCAGGTTGGCCGTTGTATAGATTTCGGCTACCACCGACGGTGGTTGCCGGAATCTGGCGAGTATGGGTTACGGGGGTGTTTTTGATAATTTTTAAACTTTTTTTTAGGGTGTATTTGATGAAATTAATAACCTTATGGGATCTAAAAGTAATTAAAAAAATTGGTTAATATTCTTAGAATAATGTGCCAAACATTATTTGGAGAGTAGGATCCAGAATCTGGATAAAATAGTAAGCCAAACATAGTGTAAAATACCCTAAACAGAGAAATTTGGTCTTCAGAACATTGGCGATCATTATGCTTTCTTTATATATATATATATATATATATATATATATATATATATATATATATATATAAAAAAGAAAAAAGAAAGCATAATGATCGCCAATGTTCTAAAGACCAAATCGGGCCTTAACCAGTCAAGGTCCCGGTTCACAGTTTGATCGGTTAAATGGCCGGTTTTTTATGGTCCAAAAAGTTTAAATTCTTCAAACACACCCCTGAAAACTATTGTCGGTCCCCACAAGTTTAAAATATAGAAAATACACCCCCGTGATCTGTTTTTATTTTGACATTTATGGCCAAATTCTGATGGCTAAAATTCAATCCGACACTACCATCTGAACCATCGTCCTCCACTCTACAAAACCCCTCTAACCCCGAAACTTGGTAGCCCTCTGTTCGCCGGCCGTGAGTCACAAACACAGCCGCGATTAGGTTGATTTTTGTAGCCAAATTCCAGCTTATTCCGACCTCCAAAATTCAATCAAACACCACCACCTAAACCATTAGCCTCCACTCTACAAAACCCTTCTAGCCTTGGCACTTGGTAGCCCCCGATTTGCTGGTCGTGATTCCCATATTGGTTGAACTTTACGGTCAAATTTTGGCTTATTCCAACATCGAAAATTCAATCCAACACTACCACTTGAACCACTGGCCTCCACTCTACAAAAGCCTTGTAACTCCAATACTTGGTAGCCCCTCGTTCACCGGCGATCAAATTAGGGATTTGTATGAACAGTGAAATTGAAATCTTAGACCCAAAAAAAGGCCAGTCGACGATTGGACTGATCTAACTGACCAGTCCTATTTGGTCCAGTTTTTAAAACATTGATGATCGCCATAATTAGAAACCAACAATTCATCGCCATAACAGTAAACACCATAACTAAAAAATCGAAGAATTTATCAACATAACCAAAAACCTATAATTCATCGCCTAGATAACAATAAAATCATCTTTAACCAAAGACACCAAACCTGAATCTTAAACCATCACCATTGTACACCAAAAACCAAAAACCGTAAATCAACCTCAAACACTAAAACATGCTTCATAACTGAGAAAACCCATAAACCTATAAATCAAAATATGTCAAAATCCATAAATCAAGCATGCTATATAACCCAGGAAACCATAGAAACTCATAAATCAAAACATGCTTCATAAACCAAAAACCCATAAATCAAACTAAACCACCAAAACATGCTTCATAACCCAAAAAGCCTCGTCAACGTTTTTCAAAAACATGTAACCAATATGTCATCAATTTTAATAAACTAACGCAGGACCAAAAGCACATGCCTCTTGCCATAGCAATCAGATTCTATATGTGAGAAATCACACACACCAAATATTGTGAAAAATATTGAGAATTCTTAGTCTAGTCTATCCAAGACCTTAATACATGCAATTGATGGAGATATCACAAACTTTTCTTTGTTAGACTAGAGGCCATTTTCTTTGTAGAAATATAACGTATGTTGTTCTGAAGACTTTTTTCCCATCAAAAGAAGAGAGATTATATGGATAGGCAGTTATCTCTTCCCACATGTCCCATTATCCACTATCTAAGGGAAAAATAATTGATATGAGGAGTAATTTATTTAAATATTAATAATGAATAATGGGCCACAAAAATTAATATTTTTATTTAAAAAATAAAAAATCGTAACATTCTCCCACTTGGCCCATTCAACACTTAATATGTAGCAGTTTTTTTCTAATAGCTATAATATCATCATACCCAAACAAAAGAGTTTAAATTACATGAATCGTGGCAGTAAGTCCTTTAGAGCAAGTATTATCTTCCACGTATTGCAATGCAACTTTCTCTTTTGAATGAGAACCATATGTGGTACATGTCTTTACGAATGAACTTCCAAATGGCTATTCAGGGTCCACAAACGAAATTCAAAGATGTATTGTTATTCTCCAAACTTCATGTATACTACTAAATAAGAGAAGAAAAATGTGAAATTAATAGAGTTTTCCAAATCAACAAAATGCGATACAAACATAAAGGGTCTCTCAATCACACAAAAACTACATAATAGAACTAAGTCCCATATGTTCAACATGTCCCGTATAAGCAATAGATGGTAAACCTTTTGTCAATGGATCAACAATCATCAATCTAGTACCGATGTGCTCAATAACCACTTTGTTGGCTCTGACATGTTCTCAAATAGCTAGATACTTAATGTTGATGTGCTTACTGCAACTTCCGTTTTTATTGTTCTTGGCCAAAAACATTGCAACGAATTATTGCGGTAAATCCTCAATGGCTTGGAAATTGTGTCAACAACTTCAAGCCCTAAAATAAAACTCCTAAACTTGTAGCATGTGATGTCACTTCAAAGCATTATACAAACTCCGTTTCAATGATAGAAGTAACAACCAAATATTGTTTTGTACTTCTCCAAGAAATGGACCCTCTAGCTAATAAGAAGACATATCCTAATGTTGACTTTCTTGAGTCAAGGCTACGAGCAAAGTCAGAATCTGAATATCCAATCACTTCTAGATTATTAGATCGCCTATATGTAAGCTTGTAGTCCTTAGTCCCTTAAAGGTACTGCATGACTTTCTTTGCAGCTCTTTAATAGTCAAAACACAGGTTACTTTGATATCTACCCAACATTCCAATTGCATATGCATTATCAGATCTTGTGCAAACCTGAACATACATTAAACTTCCAACGACAGAAGCATAAGAAATGTCCTTCATTTGTTCTCTCTCTAAATCATTTCTTGGGCTTTATTCCAATTTGAATTTGTCACCTTTGACAACAGTTGCAACACTAGATGTACAGCCCTTCATACTTTATTAATATAGGCTTCTTGAGACAATCCTAATATCCCTCGGGATTTGTCTCTCTCAATCTATATGCCTATAACATATGAAATTTCACCTATATCTTTCATATCAAATTGTTTCGAGAGAAATCACTTAATCTCATGAAGTAAGCCCAAATCACTTGAAGCACATAGAATATCATCTACATATAGGACTAATGAAACTATTTTGCTCCCACTGACCTTATGGTATATACATTGATCCATGATATTCTTCGTAAAACTAGATGAAGAAATGACATTATGGAATTTTAAATACCATTGATAAGAGGCTTGTTTTAGCCCATATATAGATTTCTTAAGCCTACAAACCAATTGATCGTTCCCTTTGAAATGAAACCTTCTGGTTATTTCATATAAACCTCTCCCTCTAGTTCTCCATTAAGGAATGTTGTTTTCACATCCATTTGATGTAGCTCCATATCAAAATGAGCCACCAATGCCATGATTGTCCAAAATGAATTCTTCTTTAGAATAGGAAATAAGGTATCGTGATAATCAATTCCTTCTTGTTGAGTGAATCATTTGACTACAAGTCTTGCCTTGTATCTTTCAATATTGCCTAAAGAGTCTCTTTTTGTCAACCAATGGTCTTTCCTTCCTTAGGCAACTCAATAAGATTCCAAACTTGATTATTAGCCATTAAATCCAACTCATCCTTCATGGCATTATGCCATAATATGGATTTATTTCTACGCATAGTCTATCAAAATGTAATAAGGTCATCTTCAGCACTAATATCCATGTTAGATTCTTATAGGTACACAACATACTCTGAAGAAATTCCAGGTTTCATAACTCTTGAAGATCTTCTCAATGTTACATCAACATGCTCAGCTTAAGAATGTTGAGTAACTGAATCTATAAGAATATCCTTATAATGATATGGTTCCTCAACGATTGGTTGTTCATGAGTTGTTGATTCCTGATAATTATCATGAAACACAACCAATTTATATGAAGATGTAGGAGTAGGTTCAAAACTGTAATCCTTCTTAAAAACTAAGTTTTGAGGTTCGCTACTCCCACTAATCTCATCATTCTCAAGGAACCTTGCATTCTTAGATTTCACAATTCTCGTCGCACGAGATGGATAATGAAATTTGTATCCGCTAGACTTTTCTACATAGCC